CCCCCCCCCCGCCTTCTCTCAGGGACCAGAAACCACGCAAACTATTTTTGTAACTTTCAGAAGCAGCTCCCCGTGAAGCATGACTAACTAGGGAACAGCTGAACTTCAGAAACTCAAAACTGCCCATGCAGCTGATGTGGGTCTCCTAGGGAACCGAGAAAGTAACTTTAAAGGAAAAACAAAACGTGTGAGCACTCAGAAATCACTTTTACCCGAAGATGGAGAGACAGTCCTAGCTGGGGTAGGGACGCTCCTGGGCTCTCTTGAAAAAACACACAAAAGAATGACTTGCAATCTGACTCTGGGAGAAAGGTGGGTCTTTGGCCCTGCCTGGCCTCACCCTGTGCCGCTCACCCCCGTCACAGGGCCCTGGTGGACAGGAAGACACACCATCTCAGGATGGATGCGTTGGGACGTTTGATCCTCTACTGGGCAGACCTGCTTGGACCCCGCAGGGCACAACTACAAGGGACAGGCCACTGTCCCACTCTACCCACTCCCTTGACTGCCTGCCTGGCTCGCTGCACCACCCCGCCATGCGCAGCTGAATAATGACCCCTGAAGACGTCCATATACTAGACCCTGGAGCCTATGTCACCTTACACGGCAAAAAGGCCGTTGCAGACATGCTTCTGAGACGGGGAGAAGATCCTGCATCATCCCGGGGGGGCCCAGAGTAATCACCAGTCTTTCTGAGGGGCAGGAGGGTGACAGAGGGCGACATGACCACGGAGGCAGAGTCAGAGATTTGAAAGCGCTGCACTGAGAATGGAGGCCGGGGCCACGAGCTATGCAAGGGGGCGGCCTCCAGAAGCTGGAGGTGCAGATTCTTCCCTAGCACCTCCGGAAGGAACAGAGCCCCCAACTTGGCTGTAGCCCCATGGGGCTGATTTGGGGTTTCTGACCTCCAGCACTGCCAGATAATGTGTCGTTTTAAGGCGCTAAGTTTGGCATAATTTGCTCCAGCAGCCTTAGGGCTACTAATGCAGGGGGCCCCTGCTTCCCAGGCTGCTGTGGCCCAGCCGGAGGGCTTGCCTTCCTCTCCAGTTGCTCAGCCAGAGCCTTGACCTCATCAGGGTTTCTGGGAAGATGATTCGTCCTCTACAGGATCTGCCTCGACCGCAGGCAGCATGGCTACCCACAGGGTGAGATCTCTGGGGCAACAGGAAAACACCCGCCCACACCCAAGACATCCCTCCCTCCCTGCAGGCTGAGGCCAGAAATTCCTCAGAGCGCCCGCCGCCTTCGCTTCTGTTCCCACGCAGGGGCACTTGGGAAGAGGGCATTCCAACGGGAGGCTTACACTGGTAGGGGTGGTGTGCGTCGTAGGTGCCCCCGCGGGCTGGTTCCCAGGTAGGGGTGGGAACAAAGCAGAAAGGCTCCGGGACAGGGACTCGATCCCCCCCCCCCCCCGAGACTCACCCATCCACCCTGCCCCTTGGGTCCCACCTGCCCCCCTTCTCCTCACAGGCGGGATCTTCCCTGCCGAGCAGCGCTGTTCCTGGCTCCCTCCGCAAGAGATGGGCCTCTCCTCTTTCCAGGTCCGGACCCACCGGCCCCCTTCCCACAATGCACCACTATGGGGGGCAGTGCTGAGAGAGACCCTCGAGAGTGGTCTTTCCAGAACTAGGGGACTAAACCATGGTCCATACTGGCCCAAAGATAGCCCAGGCTCCAGAACCCCAAACTTGAGGCAGCCCCATCTTCTCCCTTAGGCTTGCCCATCCCAGTGCAGCCAAGGGACTCTGAGTGCCTAGGGATAGTGACACACACCCAGCGACACCAGGAGTTTCAAAATCACTGCCCCAGGGGCCAGGCCTGGGCCCAGGGATGAAGGAAGCAGCCACGATAACAAGTTTATGGGAGTAGCAAAGGGCCTGTGGTCACCCCACCTTCAAATCCAAATGTCTGACGACTGCATTAGGCTTGTCTGTGGGACCCTGACTCACACCCAGAGCAGGCCTCTTGTGGGAAGTCACTGGTAACGCTGGAGCCCTTCCTCTTCGGATGGCCTCTCTCCCACCACCATAGGCTGTAAGTCCCCTCACACAGTGTGCACAGAAAACACGCAGGTCAGATTCTGAACTATTTCGGAGACTCATCTGTGTGCAGCAGACACCGCGGAGAACCTGCACACGTGCTTGGAGTGGGGGGTGTTCGTGAGAACAGCATGCATTCCCAGGGACCGGTCACAGGGCTCCACATTTAATTATGCTCAATATTAATACAAGTACAGCATAAACTGGTTCACTTGACATACCTTCCACTACTAAGGGCGTACAATTGAATACAGTTCGATGTACAGCTTTGGGGACACAAAGGAACTTCAATACCAGCTCATGAGAAATGCTCTGTTTCACTTTGGTTTTGGATGACAGGCTCCAGACCCGCCGCTTGGAGCCGCACCTGCGCCGTCAACAGGAACCGGGCCTGACCGCGAGAGAGCGAAGGCAACGGGTCTGCCCTCTGGAGAAAGGCCCCTTGGGAGAGACTGTCCGGACGGCACTGATTGGCACGGAAGGGCTGAGCCTGTGCATATAAAAAGATTTGTATAATAAACCAAATAATATTGGAACTAATACCTCCAGGGATACTTCTGTAAGAAGCAGAATTACACTGCATGTTATTCACATGCATGGGAGTGTGTAGGCAAAATCCTTCCTTGCAATTATGGCTGGAGCGGAAGAACGAGACGCGTACTGAAAGCGACAAGGGAATTGGCAGGGAAATGAACCCATGAAAGGGCTGCGTCCAGAGCAGGGGCGCCTCATCGGCAACAGAACAGGACAGGAAGGGAAGCCACTCGGAAAATGTACCCACACAGGTGCACACATCGCCCCGAAGTGCGCACACACTGAAGTGAAATCTCCCCGCAGCTTACTGGTGCTCCGGCCAGCCTCCCGGCCGGCTGCTGCTCCAAGCACTGGCTGCACGAGAAGAGGGCTGTCCCCGAAAGTGGGTCTTCAGGACACATAGCGCCTTCAGGAGCGAAAATGGCTCGGCGGTGCCAGTGCGGGAGGAAGGCCTTCCATGAGCCTCCCAGCAGGCTATACGTGCCCGCTCTGATGGCAGAGAGGTGACGGCTCCGGGGCTGGAGAGCTGAGCAAGTCCTCACGTTTGCGAGTGACGGCTGGACACCTAGACGTTTGCACTTTCTGACTCCGATGTAGGCGACCCTGACCGGAAAGCCCTGGTTCACCGAAAGCTTCCCTTGAAAACACTCCAGTGCCAAGTTTCGCCGAGTTCCTACCCGGGGCTCCAGTGTTCTCGTCACTGTCTCCCCATCACCTCCGAGGAATGACAAGGCCGTTGGCGCATCCACTGGTGGGCCAAGCTGTGGAGTGGCCCAGAAAGTCCCGTTAAGAATCACAGCACACCCACGTGTAGCGCACGGTTTCTGCATCGGGACACAAGTGTCTTGAGTTTGTGAAAACAGTGAGGGCCTCTGGCCACACATGGTGGAGAATGTGGGCAATGAGTTCATTCCAGGGGGAGGGCAGAGTGACAGAGAGCCTATCTGCGGCCACGACTAAAACTGCACACACCCTCCAGGTCTGACGACCTGTGTGAGGAGGGTCCAGGACACCTAGATGTGCCCTGGAGAGCTCAATTCCTTGAAGTTGCTCAGTGTGGCATTAAAGCAAAACTTTCCCTTCTGAAATCTAAACTGAATTTGTATCCTGATTATAAACTGCCTAAACTCTGGAGAAAGCATCAAAAGGGGCAGAGAAGGAGCTATGGCTGGTGAAATGCAGAAATGGGTTTGTCTGGGGGGCACCTGGGTGGCTCAGTTAGTTAAGCATCCAACTTCGGCTCAGGTCATGATCTCAATGGTTTGTGAGTTGGAGCCCCGTGTTGGGCTCTGTGCTGACAGCTCAGAGCCTGGAGTCTGCTTCAGATCCTGTGTCTCCCTCTCTCTCTGCCCCTCCTCTGTTCACGCCCTGTCTCTCCCTCTCTCTCAAAAATAAATAAACATTAAAAAAAGAAAAGAAAAGAAAAGAAATGGTTTGTCTGAAACATTCGCGTTCTGGTTAAACATAAGTTACACCAGGACAGGATGGGAGGGGTCTGAGATGAGTGTGCTACAAAGATGGACTTTCTTTTCCTCGTTCATAAAAAGTGAAATTAACAAGGTTTAGATCTGAAGAGAATAAAGGGCGGACTTAGGAGGAGAAGAGAAAAAAGGAGTCTCTCCATTCTCTGCCCAGATGAAAGCATTGACCTGAGCAGTGTTTCAGAACCGAATGGAAGTGTAACTCTGACAACGCCGGTGTGACCTCCAGCGTGGCAACGTGACCTCCCGCATGGCAACGTGACCTCCCGTGTGACGTGACCTCCCGCGTGGCGACGTGACCTCTAGTGTGATGGTGTGACCTCCAGTGTGATGACTTGACCTCCAGCGCACTCACTTGGATCCCACACGGTCAGCCCCCCGCAGTCACACTTCCTTCCCGCCCCCGCCCCCGCCCCCCACTAAGGCTGCTGTGCCGCAGGAGGGAGCGGTTCGAGCATCCTCTTGGGTGGCCTGGGACGGGGAGGCCTGTGTAGGCTCAGCTGAGGGGCTCACACCACAAACGATTATATGAAACACGTGCCAAGGGAGGGGAAGGAGAAGAATCTTGGGGTTTTCTCCACGCTGCTGAGTAAAAGGCACCCCCGCCCCAAAGAGAGATTTTTAAATCACGGTGACAGTGGAAACCGCAGGGGCCGCGGCCCTCAGGTCTTCTTCCAGGCGAATGCTTCATCGGCGAGCACCTGGGCCAGCCTGGCGTTGAAGGGCCCGTAGAAGTCCTGCAGGATCCTCTGGGTGACCGGCCACATGGGCCCCAGGTTCCGGTCCTCGGGGCGCCGCGCATTGGACGCGGGGCTCTTGGTCATCAGGGTTTCTTGTTTCTCCCCTAGGGGCCCTGGAACACAAAAGGCTGTGAAGCAGGAGGCGTGGCAGGAAGGAACTCTGCACAACTCCCAGCCACGCTTCTGTGGGGACAGGGGTCCCCTCAGGAGAGCTTGGGTCCCTGGCCAGAGCCGTCCTCGGGTTGCTGAGCACGGGAGGTGGGAGGACCTTCAGGAAGGAGCAGGGGCTCCCCGGCCTGGGGCAGGACACTGGCCCTCGGAGCGCGACTGGGGCTCTGGGAGGTGGCCTCACCCCCCACTCCCCAGCTTTGGTGCCAAACACCCTACAGAGCGAGCGCCCGTGGCCATCAGCCTGCCCGTGGCTAACGGTGTGACCTGCCACGCACAGTCCGTGGGCTTAGACTTTCCTACCAACCAGCCTACTGGAATCCCACCAGCGTCATTTCTACTGCAGGCTGCTGAGGCACAGGGCCTGTGGCTGGGCTGCATTTCACCCCTCCAGTGGCCGTGGGGGGCGGGGCGGCAGGGAGGCCCCCTGTGCCCAGAGACCCTATTAGCTGAACCTCAAATGCAGGAAGATCTGTGGGGAGGCCCGGGAACAAGCCAGCTGCCTCTATCCCCAGCTCTCCGCACCCGAAGTGTCTCACAGGCTTAACCGACCGCATCACTGCCCAGGCCACTTGGTGCCAGGCCCTTGGGATCTGGCCAACGTGTCCTTGGGTTGTGTGCAACAGAAGGAACAGAACTGGCCTCACCGTCCATCTCAGGGACTAGAGACTAGTTCCCGGATGTGACGGAGCCTACGCGCGCGGCCCGCTCTAAGGAAAATGGACCTAGGCCTTCAGAGGAAAAAGCAATTACGCTCCCTCGTGTCACTATGGCAAAAGTGTTCAGAGGCCAGTGGAGGGCAAACTGATTTTAAGGAATATTCCATCACCAAAATCCCCAGGCCAGATACCCAGGTGGGGCTGTGGGAGGGTTTGAGTTCTGCTCTGGAGTTTCTGGCTGTCTTTCGGTGCCCATCCACAGGGGTGGTCCTCAGGGCCCAAATACCCACCCCTACGAGCCATCGCCATGGCTAGTGGACTTTCCTAGAGGTGCCACCCAGCCATGTGGCCCTGACTCCAGGGGTCCCCCAAAACCTGGTCATTCTACCAGTTACGTGGCTATCTGAGCTATGGCTTCCTCCTTTCCCTCTGCTGGACTGGAGCCCCCCCGGGTGAGGGACCCCTCCCGAACCCAGCACAAGGCTCTGTGCCTGACAAACAGGTACTGAACCAGCTGCCCCACTCAGCTGGGCGCACGGAGTCTGCATGTGACTCAGTGAGCACCTTGGACAGCCAGTGTCCACGGGGCTCAAGCCTGCTCCACAGGTCATATGCATGACATCCATACCGAGGTTGAGAAACTGGAAGACCCGGTGCATGGTGTATTTGACGTTGGATGCATGGTCTTCGAGGCGGAGAATGAGGAACTGCTCTTTATTAAAGACGGTGAGCCAGTCCAGAAGATACACGGCATACAGACCGACCTGGAGCCGCACCTGGAACCAGAGCAGACGGCGGGCGTCACTTCAGGAGGGGTTCCCAGAACACTTTTCCAAAAGTATCAGGCCTGCATACAAACCAGCACCAAAAGAGTTATCCTAGCAAACTGCTTTCAAAGGATGGATTTTATTTTTATTATTAATTTTTTAATGTTTGTCTATTTTTGAGAAACAGTATGGGCAGGGGAGGGGCAGAGAGAGAGAGAGGGGGACACACAGGATCCGAAGCAGGCTCCAGACTCTGAGCTGTCAGCCCAGAGACCGATGCGGGGCTTGAACCCACGAACTGTGAGATCATGACCTGAGCCGAGGTCGGAAGCTTAATGGACTGAGGCCCCCAGGCGCCCCCAAACAATGGATTTTAAACGCTGTGCACTCTTGAGTCTTCAGGAAGGGTTCTGAGCTACTCACATGGAAGTCTCCTACTTAAGGTTGCATTTAATCCTCACAACAGCCCTGAGGCAGCTCCGGGACACATTTCGTGGTGGAGACTCCGGTGAAGGAAGAGGCCCAGACTCTACCCGTGAACAGTGCAAGCGTTCCTTGCACGATACCCTGGCTCTTTCTGCTCCTCTGCCCAGCACGCGACAGCCATGAGAACCACGTTCAACACCTCGGAAACGAGCCAGGGGAGTGACCCGTCCCGCGCCTGGGGCCACCTGGGCGTCCGTGACCAGGAGGCTCTGTGCAGGGTCATGCACAGCCCCTGCCTCCCACCTGCACGTCCGGGGTGATGTCCTCCGCCCCTTCTCTCGTGCCGGACTGCAAGCCTGCGCGGCGAAGAATTACCCTTTCCCAAAGGAAGTCTGGCCTCTGGCCTCGGCTCCTGGGAGGTGACCTCTAGACCACCTGGGATGTCCTGCCTGGTAAGTGTCTTGGCTTGCCCAGGGCACCTGGCCACCGGGGAGTAAGCAGTGTGAGTGACAACGGGGGAGGAGTGTGGCCAGCAGCAGGGACCGGACGGTAAAGGCCGGCCAGGCGGGTGGTATGCGACCGAGTCCCAGTAAAGGCTCTGATCCCCACGGGCCTGGGTGGGCGTCCCCAGATGGCCATGCTGTGCTTGGTCACTTGTGCTTCTTCCCGGGGCAGGGGAGGGTTCAGTGAGTGTCCCTTCTCTGCCGCAAGCATGATCTTCGGCGTGCTCTTGCGATTCCTTCTTGAGCTACTGAACCCCAACGCAGTCTGGGGGACCCCCTGAGTTACAAACATGTCAGCAGTGAGGGTGGCCTTGGGATGTTCCTTCTAACTTCACAGCTGCTGCTCAGCTCTTGGAAGTTTCAGGAAAGAACAGAGCTCTCCCCTTCTGCCCAAAGGCCCCCTTCTCCTGGGCCCCCCCGCCCCGAGTCCTGGGGACCCTGCCCCATTTCGGGCCTGCCGCTCTCCGTCTGTGACCTTCCCAAATGTTTCCACCTGCTCCCTCTGCCCGGCTCCACGCCAGCCCCTCTGGTCGGGCCCAGTCGTCAGAGCCCCCTAACTGGTGCTCCCGTCTGGAGCACCCACCCCTGGCCTGTCCCCCTTGCCGGCCTGGCCCCTCCGGCCCCTCTCCCAGCCTGCCTGCTGTCCCAGTGTGCGAAGGCCTTGGTCTGGCTTGCGCTCAGCCCCCCGCGGCACCCCCTCCGAGCCTCAGCTGTGCAGACACTGTCCCTTCAGGGTCCTCTGTCCCTCCCAGCCCGAGCCAGGGCCCCTCCGTCCCGCCAGGCTCCACAAAGCAGGGCCGGGCTCCGATGCTCCTCTGGTGACGTGCTGGACACGGCGGTGGCAGGGCGGTGAAAAGTCTGACGCAGTATGTACAGTCGCTAACTAGTTGCATCTCTCGCTATTTGTTTCCCATTTTGTTATTTTTCTAATCACGGAGGAGGAGGAGGAAGAAAACCAGTGAGAGGGCATGCACTGTCCCCAAACCGCATCAGCTGCCTCCTGCCCCTGGCCTGTCCCTTCCTAGGAAAGACCCCGAGCTGGGCCAGAGCCAGGAGAGTGAGAACGTGGCAGCCTCGGAAATGGCATGTGGCGCCTCCCACACAGGCAAACCCCACCCGGCATGTCTTCGGGGTCATGAGCCTCACAGGGCAGTTCAACCTCAATTCCCAGGGAGGACCAGCCTCACGAGGGTGATCTTCCAGGGCAGCTGCCTTTGCAACTTGAGAACGTTCTAGAAGGACAGAAGCTGGTGTCGGTGATGGGGAGGGAGGGGGGGTATTCTATAGCAGCCAGAACCCATTCCTGACCTGGTCACAGGTGACAGACTATTTCTCCGAAAGCCTGTCCGTTCCCTCCGTGGACAGGGACCCCAGCACTGCTCCCAGGAGCACAGGGGCCCGCGGGCTGAGGCCTCCCGCAGCCGGGCCCTTCCTCCCCGGGCAGGGGTCACACCCGATGGGACTCTGCAGGCCGGGGGGGGGGGGGGGGGGGGAGGCTCCCACAGCCTCAGGCTCCCTGGTCCCCTGAACACCCCCTCTTCTGACTGGCCTCGGGCCCCCGTCTCCCCGCCCCTGCACCCCTCCAGGAAAGCTCGGTCACCCTGAGTGGCGCTTCCTGGTGCGCGGACGGCGCTGCTACAATGTGCACCATCAGGGCGAACCTGAGACGGGCCTACTTGGAGTTGTTTTTCCTTCGCCTTTCCCGGCAGAGGCCTGAGAATCAAACTGGCATGAAGATAAAAAGGTATTTAGAGCAAGTGTCTGACAGATTCAAAATTACAGAACAGCAGAGATGAGAGAAGCCTTTGAGGTCATCCGCCGCAGCCAACTTTCGATGGGAAAAATGGAAGCACAGGGAGGGGTGGGGGCCTGCGCAGGGTCAGCTGGGAGCACCTGCCGGCACCTGGAGCCGCCAGGGGGTGCCTGCCACCGGCACGTTTCCTGCCACACAGGGAAAGAGCCAGGGAGGGTTGGGTGCAGGGCTCTTCCCAGACAGGAGCCCAGCCGAGCCGCTCGGTTCCCAATTGGGGGTTTTAGGAGGAACACCTCACCCAGCCTATCTGGGATCCGCTAGGCTCAAAAACTCCCCATTCATTCATTCATTCATTCATTCATTCATTCATTCCAAACAATCGAGTGTGTGCTGCATACCAGGTAGCCCACTTTGCAATGGACATGTGCTGCCATGTAACAGACACGGCTCCCGGGCTCACGGAGCTTGGGACCTGGTGGGGGATGCAGAGCTGGGCTGGGAAGAAACCACCTGCGATCCCCAGCTGTGGCCCCTGCTACAGGGAAACAGCGGGAGTGCAGAGAGAAAGCAGAGGTCAGATTAAAGCAAGACCCAGAGGGTGAGAAGCCTGGCAGCCTCTAGGGGAAGGTCCCTTCCAGGGATAGGGAAGCAGGGAAAGGGGCTGGACCTGGCCTCTCCAATCCGCCTGGGGGGCTGCTAGACAGCCTGATGGGCCCGCCCCCTCAGATGCTGTCTTCTGTGGCCCAGGGCTAAGCCTGGGCTTGCTGACAAGTTCCCAGGGGATGCGGATGCCGCTGGTCCAGGAAACCAGGAACCTTTGCAAACCTCTGCTCTGAGGCAAGAGGTTTGCCCCAGGACCTAACAGGAGTGCGTGTGGCTGCAGAGAGCAGTGACGGAGAAGGGGTGGCTGGAGGAGGTGGAGGCGGGGGGCCAGCTCGCGCACGCCACTGCCACCGGAAGGCAGGGGACGGCTAAGGAAGGCTAGCACCCGGCTCCACCTCTGTTTGAGAAAGCTCTCCCTCCCTGCGCTGTGGTTGAGCTGGGACTCACAGCTGGAGGGAGATCTGCTTCCTTCGTCCCAGAATTGAAGATTCACGCCCGAGAGGAGGGTTTCCAGTGGCTCCTCGCTGCCTGCCTCTTCCTGGTGAGCAGGAGGTGGCCAGGGGCTGAAGGGTCATGGCCAGTCTGCCATCTGTGATGCCGGCCCCCCGCACCCCCGCACACCCCATCCTGTCGACCAATCCTGCCCCTGGTCATCTCTCTCTGACCTAAGGTGTCCGCTAAGCCACCACCTCGTCACCCTCAGCAAAACATGAGATTGAATGCAAAAGTCAGTTCATGCCTCTGCTCTCAGGAGCTGGCCAGGGAAAGGTAGCAATGCCACAATTCCAAAAGGCCACAGGACCTGGGATGCGCCCTAGGCCCGTTACCCATGTCTCTGGGTGGGAGAGTTAGGGTCTGTGAGCCCCAGTGTCCTCATCTGTAAAACGGGCATGGATTTGAGGGCAGCACAGAGGGCAGAACATGAGCTCAAGACCGTGCCTGGTGCAGTCAGTGTGAACAAAGCTTAGATCCCATGTCCGTCTCTCCCTGGCAAAGGGTTCTGATCAGGAAGAATTGCCAGCACACCCCAAAGTGGAGACTCAGGAGGCCTCCTATGAACTGATCACCTGGGGTCTACAATGGTCCGGTGTTCCCAGCTGGAGGCCAACAGGGCAGCACAGGGGAGGGCACCCCTTTCTTGTCTGTGGGAGGAAGTGGCTGTGGAAATCCCGCCTCCTAGAAACCTATTTAGGGGCCACTGGGTGGCTCAGTCGGTTAAGCGTCCGACTTTGGCTCAGGTCATGATCTCACGGTTAGTGGGTTCGAGCCTCACACTGGGCTCTGTGCTGACAACTAGCTCGGAGCCTGGAGCCTGCTTCAGATTCTCTATCTCCCTCTTTCTCTGACCCTCCCCTGCTCATGCTGTCTCTCAGAAATAAATAAAACATAAAAAAAAAAAAAAAGAAAAAGAAACCTATTTAAAGGCAGGTGAGATGTGCATCTAGCCGACTCTGTCCCCGTGGCCCTGACAGTGCCGAGGCGCTGGCCCGGCGAGCTCTGGGCGGTGCGGCGTGCCCCAGGCTCAGGGTGCAGGTGTACATCAGATGCTCACTCTTCCGGGACAGAATCAGGACGTGAAGCCACTGAAATGCCCCTGAGAGAAGCTGTACCCTCAGTCAGGAACTCCCCCCAGGCCCGGCCTCGCCCCTGCCCTTCTAAATCCAGCCAGCTTGGCACTCCCTTGTAGAAGGCCCCGGAGGCAAACCCTCGCCTCTCCCTCCCTTTCAGAGCATCAGCCACATAATCTCTTGAAGAGGGAGCTCATCAGTAACATGGCCTGGAAGAGGATGGTTCCGGCATCTTCTCTGAACCACAACAGCTGGACACAACACCTCAACTCCCTCTGTTCTGCCTCCTGCCCTCCCTCCCAGGTCACCCATGGCCAGGTTTCTTCCAGCACTGAGCACGATGCTGAGCACAGAGTGGGCACCCAGGGTATGCCCTTGGAGACGAATCAAGTCTCAGCTGTTGGAGGACAGTCCCCACTTCACACCATACGTAGGGGTTTTCGGGAAATGTCTCCAGGTAGTGGCTCTTCTCCCCTGCAGGCCCTGCACGGATGACCCTCATGGTCCTAAATAACCACACTAAAAAGCAACAGTTAAGAACTAGAGTCGGGGCGCCTGGGTGGCTTAGTCGGCTAAGCGTCCAACTTTCGCTCAGGTCATGATCTCGCGGCCTGTGGGTTCGAGCCCCGCATCGGGCTCTGTGCTGACAGCTCAGAGCCTGGAGCCTGCTTCAGAGTCTGTGTCTCCCTCTCTCTCTGACCCTCCCCTGCTCATGCTGTCTCTCTCTCGCGCCTAGAAATAAATAAAACAAAAAAAAAAAAAAATAACTAGAGCCATTTTGAACCAAATGCCGTTCTTGGCCTGCCGGTCAGCAAACCTGTGGCTTCCCCATTATCCACGGCCTGATCTAACCCGACCCATGTGCACATGCTTTCCACTAGTCCTCTTGATTGTTTCTAGAACCTCCGCAGTCTCCTACCCTGACTCAGCCCCCCCCCCGCCCCCGTTCTCTTACAGAAACCCCATCCCACCCCCACCCTGGGCTCCCTGTCTCTGGGAGACACCACGCCAGCCCTGGGCGCCGTACACCAGGCATCCTTCTCAAACACAGATTTGTTACAAGCGTCCTGTTCTGAAACCCTCCCTGGGGGCCGACGTCCCTCAGGAAGAAGGTCAGGCTGGATGTGAGGGCGATCTGGCTGCGACATCTGTCACCCATTGATCGCCAGGGTTGATTCGGCCGACCTGGCTGGCTAGGCGGGTGTCCCCTCCCTCCGTCCCCGCTCCCTGTGCGTCCCTCCCAAAGCTGCGCACTCGGTCGAAGAGGATGACCGTCCCGGATAGAGGAGGGCCCTTCTTCGGTCAAGGGTATATGAGTAGCTGCGCTCCCCTGCTAGGACCTCCAAACAAGCTCTCAGGGAAGAAGGTCAGGCTTCCAAGGCTCACACCTCCCTCGTCCATCTCCATCGCCCCACCACCCGCACAACCAGGTGCTGCAGACACGCCCTCCGGGCTTAACTCTTGGCCTTTGCATGAGCTGCTCCCCCGCACCTGACAGGTCACCGCCTCCGTGCCCCCAGCCGCCTCATCCTTCAGGCCTGGGCGCAAACGCTGCCTCTCCTCAGAAGTCCCCCTGCTTCCCTGTGTTCCGGTGGGAACCCTGCTGGGAGCCACGCGTCCTGCCCCAGCCGCTAGGTCACTCTCCCCGCCAGGGCTGGCGCTGCACCAGGGCACGAGGACCAGGCCTGTCCTGTCACGCAGGCCCTCCCAGCCCGTGTGCCACGCACAGACACGCGCAAATGATGAACGCATGTGAAGGGAGGCAGAACACGCTGCCTGGAAATACACCACTTCAGCATAAGGATTATTTTGAGCCGAAGGCAACTGAGAAGAAACACAGACATAAGAAAAGCTCTCCGCCCTCACTGTTTGCCTCAAAGCAGTACATACATGTGCCAGGGCGCCCTTTCTCCCCTCTCTGCCAGGATGGACCGAATTCATCACTGGAGACGTTAGACCTTTGTCAGCCTTAAGACAGCACCAGACGATATGACGTCACAAACCTCGATAAAGCTAGCCCTTATCAACCATCAGTTCCCCCATATGTTTATATACCTTCCTACGATTTGCTGCCCTGGAAACTCCAAGTCCTCTTCCTTTGTCTGGTCGTCTCTCTATGAATGTACTCTTCTCCCGTTGGGATGTTATACAAGCCTGAGTTCTAACCATCCCTCTGAGTTACTCATCGTGCACGTGTGCAACACACATGTTAATCAACTTGTGCTTTTCTCTCTCTTGTGAATCTGTCTTTTGTTGGTCTGATTCTCAGGGCGCGGACCAGCAACTCTAAGATGGCTACAGGGTTAGTCGTTTGTCCCCTGCACATGAAAGAACTGTCACTTTAACCCTTACAACAGCCTGGAAGAGCAGGGTTACTACCCCATTTTAGGATGAAGCAATGGAGTGTCAGAGAAGCTAAAATGACTGCCAGAGTCACACAGCTTAGTAAAGGCCCAAGCTGGGAACCGACAGCTCTGCCTGGCTCCAAAGGCCATTCCTCTACCCTGTGCCGCTGGGCAGATTCTAGGTTTGTCTATGCCCTTGTCTGCATCTTCTCTGGCAAACTGAAAAGTCCCCCAGAATAGCCTCAACCCGACCTGCAGCCTCTGTGCCTCCTGCCAGAGCCAGGACCTTATGCTCCAGACGCGACGGCCTTGAGAACAAGGAATGTAAGGCCACAAGTCTAAACGTCTAAACCAAACTGACTCCATGACAGGCTTTAAGTTTCCCCTCTAAACTAGAAGGCCTGAGTTTCAGCTTCCCCCGAAACTATCAGGTAGTTACACATTGCCCAAGGCAGGAGTAACCACCCTTGCAACACCCAATCAGGAAAGGCCAGCGACCACCCTCCACATTGTTAAGGGAGAGGCCTGGAGATAGAAACTATAGATAGGACCCTGTTACCTAATGTTAAAGTTAACCTGTTAGTCTCCGAACAAGACCCTAGGCTCGCTCTGTGATTGGTTGAATTTAAAGGTACTCTAAATGTTGTAATTGGATCCTGCCAAAAGTAACGAATACTCTAGACAATGTGTATGGTCAAACCCGCTGTCAATGATGTTGAATAATTATGACTGGGTCACTGTTCCCATGTCACAACTTCTGTAACTCCCTCGTCTCAAACCCCATAAAAACCCTACTCTGCCCTTGTTCGAGGCTCTCAGCACGGACCCATATGCTGGTGAAGTCTGTGAGCCCAAGCTTAAGCCCGTAATAAAGCCCTTTGCCTTTGCATGCGTGACTCGGTCTCCCTGGTGGTCTCTGGTCAGTGAGGATACTGCGATCTGGGTATAACAGGAAGACGGAGTGAAACCTCTGGACTCCAAGCACCCCATGCCCAGGGGGTTCCTGGCCTCCCCCTCAAGCACATCTGCCTGTGCTGTCCCACACGCTGCACTCCACAGAGCGGTGGTGAACCCCCGCGCCCCCCCCCCCAGACTTGGCAGCACTACCTTCTCTGCAGAAGGCTCCTCCCCAGCACAAATCTGCTGAAAAGACACACACCCCAGGGTGCTGTGCGGCAGAAAGCCAGCCCTAGCTGAAGTGTGCTCAATTCCCCACCAACAGCTTCTTTTGTATAATAATAATACAAAAAAGCAGGATGTGTACAGCCACATTCCTGAAGGCAAATAAGAGAAAAGAAAAAGAGAGATCAAGGGGAAACATCTTTCCACGGAGGCCCTGTGGAAGGAGCACCGAAAGTCACCGGTGGGTAATTCTTTAAACCACCGAAACGATCCACCATCGGAGAGCAGGCTTGAGACGATTTGAGAGCTGGGTCCCCATGTCTGCCAATCCTAATTGCAGGGCGGGGTTTTTGGAGCCTCACTAACTGGTAATCTTCCTAAAAGTGCCCTCAGCTTCTGCAGGGGGAGGAGCGGGTATTGTAATGGGGAGCTCAGCAGGGAAGAAAGCCTGGTGCCAGCTGAAGGGGCCCCTCCTTTCCACAGTTTTTATGTCCCCGCATTTCTGTTTGTGCACTAGCCACTGCCGCCCAGAGGCCTGGGGAGACACATTTGCACATTCAAATGCTTCTCCTTGTTTATATGCTAAAATCCCGTCCACCAGGCCGCGTGCACAATAACCACCACCAGGTGGGCCGCCCTGTGGGGGGCCCGGCTCCCAGGATACGCACAGGCATGGCGTTGTTGAGGGTGTTGTTGTAGACGCAGGCGCGCAGGGAGAACTCGAGCATGCAATTTTCAAACAGCTGCAGCGCTTCCGTCACTTTCTCATGGAAGTCATCAGCAGATTTATTCGAACTTGCAAAGTAGAGGTAGTCGGAGTACAACCTGCGAATAAAAATGCACGGGTATTTTTACCACCTGGGTATGTGAACTCACGCGGCCTGGGCGACAATGGAAATCAACATGCGGTAGCTCGGTTCATTCATTAGGACCCTGCCGTTTCTCTCTGTTCTCCCGCAGATGAGCCCCTCCCTCCTTCCTTCCACACCTCCCCACCCTTCACAGGGCCCCCCATGCACTCCTGGACTCAGACAGGTCTACACTGGCCCCAGACAAACCACTGGTACTTTTGAAATTCTTTCTAGCCACTTCAGCACGCAGCTGTGTCCACTGTAATGGTGAGCTCAGAAAGACCAGATTAGGAAAACCGTACAACAGGGAAGACGGGCCATGAAAACATTATGCTCCTTCCAGTTCCTCTCTCCTCCATCAGAGGCAACAATAAGCAGAACAGCTGTCGCTCTTAGAATATTATGGTTCCTCATGAGATTCCTGGCCCGTTCCACCGACGTCCCAAACATTAAAAAAAAATTATCAAATGTATCTTTCTAGATTGGAATGGACCTATTTTTTAACACAGTATAAAAATTCTACAGGGGTGCCTGGGTGGCTCAGTCGGTTAAGTGTCCGACTTTGGCTCAGGTCATGATCTCACGGTTTGTGAGCTTGAGCCCCGCGTCGGGCTCTGTGCTGACAGCTCAGAACCTGGAGCTCCTTCAGATTCTGTGTCTCCCTGTCTCTCTCTGACCCTCCCCTGCTCACGCTGTTGCTCTCTCTCTCTCAAAAAAATAAATTAAAAAAAAATTTTTTTAATTAAACAAAAAAAAAAAAACCCACCCCCACACAGGCACGCCAATTGTCTCACGTACGTAAACCCAATAGTCCACGTACAGGGTCTGTGTGAACACACGTATGTGGCCACATTTTCCTTTGGCAACTGATGGTGTTGCTCCTTGACCTGACCTTCCCCGGGCTCTGCTACACCTTCCCAGCTAGGCCTCAACTCGTAGACTCCCGCATCCATCTCTGTGCTGCCCAGGTTCAGCCGGAACCCCCCTCCCCCACATCTGCTCACCATCAATATCCGGTGGGCTCTGGTCCGGACCATCCCCCAGGGGGTGTCTGATCGCTCCCCCCCACCACCTGCCTGCAGCAGGAATACTGCTGGGTCTGTTTAGCCAGAACTCTGGTGACCTCAGCCCCATGTGTCGTCTTCGTCATTTCCAATCCGCAGACCTCACGGCTCTTTGGCTGTAAGTCCCCAATTTTCCCTGCTGTGTCTGGAGTTGTGGCCAGTCTGACACCCAGTGGAGTGAGTCCTGAATGAAACCTGCCTTACAGCCTTGACCCAGCTCCAGGGTAAGGGTTTGCTTGCTCCTTCCTTCCTCTCTCTTCCTCCCTCTCTCCCTCTTTCCTTCCTTCCTTCCTTTTTCCCTCCTCTCTTCTTCCTTCTCTCCCTCTTCCCTCCCTCCCTCCCTCGCTTCCTTCCTTCCCTCCTCCCTCCTTCCCTCCCTCCTCCCTTCCTCTCTCTCTTCCTTCCTTCCTTCCCTCCCTCCTTCCTCTTTCTGTCTTTCTTTCAGTGAATCCTCTGCAAATATATTTTACTGGACTCTCAGCATTACAGACAGATTTTTTTTAAGCAAGGGCTACTCCTTTTCTTACACGAGACAGAGAAACAGTAAGAAAGGATGAATTACAACAACGTGATAAACACAGCTCTCTCGCAAGCCCTGCTGCCCGTTTCTCCGGGTCCTACCTGTGAGTCCTACTCCCCAGAGAGAACCTCTCCTATCAGGGGCTGAAATGGCCTTCCAGACGTTTTCTGTGCCCACTCTGGCAGGATGAGCATATTTTATATTTTTACAACCGTGGATGGTACCAGATCGGATCAGGTGGAATCAGGTCACACACCTGTCTTCCCGGCACATCTCTCTTCCCCCTGTTGGGGGTGGGGGGGGGGGGCTCTGAGCACCTACAAGCACAGGGGAGATGGGAGACACACCCTAACAGAAATGCCATCTCACTGCCACCAAATCACTTCTTTCTCTGCCCGAACTTCTGAGCTGTGAGTTCCCACACCTCCTCCTGCTTTCTGCTTGCAAAGTCTTCATCTTCTTTTGTTTTCGGAGGATCCCTTTTCATTTCTGCCTGGTGCCTTTCCAGTGCCCACCCCCAAGTGACCTCCCTGCTTCGCCCTTCACTCGCAGACCCTCGGCCTGCCTGTGGGGAAACGAGGCTGACGCGGGTGGGCCCGTGGGCCGCCCCCCCCCCATCTCCACGGACTCACGTCCTCTCTCCCATTAATGCCTTACTTTTTCTACCCTCCAACCTCTCCGACGCGGCTTCCCTGATCCCAGTGAGGGCGAGTCAGTGACTCTGAGAAGTGCACGTGCCCTGTCGACTGCACCCCTCCCTCGATCCCGCACCGCGTCCTGACTCCAGCACTCAGCAGCACCCACGGGAGCGGAAAACACAGGACCCCCATTGCAGGGGCCGGCTGCCAATGCTCCCCCCTCCCCCCTCCCCCCCAATGGCGGTCAAGGTGGGATGCGCAGATGTGCTGATCACAGGAGCATGGCTTCTTAGGGACCACGCTTCCCCTCTGGCACCTGGCATAGTGCCTCTGCCACCAAATTCCGTTAGAATTCATCCACAGCTAGTGTCCACAGAGGACACCTCCAAGAAGCCCTGAGATGACTGGGATCTGCCCGCTGACCGCCTGGAAAGGGAGTTTCGTACACCTCAGCCTGCTCACTCCAATTCTCCAGAGGGCCCCGTTTCCAGACTAGTCCGTAGAGATGCTCAGTGACCAGTGAGCTCATTCTCCCCCAGACCCGTGCCCGCCGGAGCACATTACCCAGGATGACAGGCTATCTGCCTGTCATGGCATCCCCACACAGCAGCTGCTGGTCCCCACACCCATCCCTGCGGGCCAGCCACAGTATAACCAAGAGGCTGATGGGTAAGTGTCCAAATCAGATCTGCATGGACCCCAAAGACCAACCAAGCTGTATGTGCCAACGTGTGCCGTGTGGCCAGGGGTCGGGTGGGGGTGCCCTTCTTGGCTCACACCCTTCTTATCAGTCCTGCTGATGTACCGGCCCAGCCCAAGAAACTATGCCCGTGAAAAGTAACAGCCACCTCTCAATCTATCACCACAATCTGGATTTAACGGGAAATCCGAGTCCAGAGTTCTTACCACGGACGCCTACAGGACTGTCCAAACTCTTCGGTGGCACTGGAATTCTATCACGTACACTACCGTCTACAAACCCATCCGTTGGGTCAGGCTTTCCATACTGACGGTTGATTCCGTGGTAGTAACATTTCTTATAGACGCCCTGGCTCATGAATGACGCGAGAGCCCCCGAACCTGGCTCAGTTTTAAACACAAAGTAACTTCACGAAGAATCTGCTGATTCGATAACAATTCTTCAGAGATGAAGCAATCCCAGGGCATAGAGGGGGACGTGTCCGATGTGCAGCCCAGCCCTGCGAGGGGGCGGGGACGCGAGGGTGGAGAAGACTCCTGATTTTCGTCTGTTTGAAGGAAGGTGAAATGAACTCGGGACCCACCTTCTGTGAGTCAGGTTCACAGCCTGGCCAGGCCCACTCCTCAGCAGAGTGGAGGGGGCGTCTCTGGCCCCCCAGGCCCCTGGGGGTGTGCAGTGGACTCTGGGGCTCCCTGCAGCCCATGTGCTTGCCAGAAGGTGTATCGGCAGCAATACACCCCTCACGTCTCACTGTGTCATACCATCTAAGCAGAGACTTTATTCGTCACAATGAATGGCCACCTCTCCTGTCTGGAGTCTATAAGTCCTCCCCAAAATATGTCCCCTGCACCTATGAATGGGGTCTTATTGGGAAATAGGGCCTTTGCAGGTGAAATAGTGTTGAACAAAGATCTTGAGATGAGTTCATCCTGGAGGGAGGGTGGGTTATAGATCCAACGACTGGTGTCCTCACATCAGGGACAGAGACACGGGGGAGAAGGGCACGTGAAGACAGAGGGGGAGGCTTCAGGGACACTGCCACAAGCCAGGGAACCCCAGGGGTTGTCAGCCACAAGCAGCAGCCGGACACAGGCCTGGGGAGCCCCCAGAAGGAACCCACGCTGGCGGCATCGGCATCTGGGGTGTAGACTTCGAGCCTTCAGAACTGCCAGAGGACATATTTCCGTTGCATTAAGCTACCCGGTTTGCGGTGATTTGCTGTAACAGCCCAGGAAATACATGCAGCTTCTCTCCCCCAAATTCCCAGGAAGACTGGGGAGCTTTCTGCCTCCACCCTCTTCTACCCTGCAGCCACGGGAGAGTCCTGAGCATGCAGAAGGATGAGAGCCACATGGTTAGCTTCCCTTCAGAGATGTAAGAAGGAAGGCAGAGGAGAAGCACGAGCTCTAACTTTCAGCGGAGCACAATTTGGACCCCCCAAAGAATCAGGCTCATGCTTCATAAGAACATCAGCAATAATCAAAGCTATGATTTCCCCGCAGCTACTCTCCGGGGGGAAAGGGCCAGGCAGTGACCACGGATGAGTGAAGGCCACTTGGATGGGTTAAAGCCATTCAGAAAACATTGAGAAGGGCAGCAAGTGTATCAAGATTAAGTACGCAAAAGCTGGAGCGGGCACTCGCAGGTAACAAGAGATAAACCGAAACATCCACATTTTGGTCTTTAAAATCAACTGTACAAAGTACTTGGGTGGCTCCGTCAGTTAATTGACCAACTTCTGCCTAGGTCATGATCTCGCCATTCCCTAGTTCAAGTCCCGCATTGGGCTCTGCGCTGACAGCTCAGAGTCTGCAGCCTGTTTCAGATTCTCTGTCTTCCTCTCTTTCCGCCCCTCCCCCACTAGTGCTGTCTCTCTTTCTCAAAAATAAATAAGCATTAAAAAATTTTTTTAATCTACTGTACAATGATGAAGCAAGGGAGACAGGCCAGCAGGGTAAATACACAATAGGCTTAGCTGGCATAAACTTGAAATGAATCATCACAGAACTGCATGGATGCTTCTGTCAATCATAGGATGCCTTAATAAAGGTA